GACACTAGCTCTAACTGTTCTCTTATCTTGGACTCCTCAGCTTTTAGAACTGTGGGAAATAAATTTCTAATGTGTATATCTCACCTAGGTTATGGCATTTTGCCTAATAATGAGAATATACAAAGATATCTGGTGTAATCAAAATGCCCAGAAGAGAATGACAGCATTTCAGAGAACAGAATACACACTGGGCCCACAGTGTCTCCACTATGTCTGAGAGAGAACTTGCAAGAAAGCTCAGGAGACTATTGACAGGGATATAGATCTATTTTCAAAAATTTCTCTCTCTCTTTCTTCGCCCTTTTTCATACCCTCTCTCCCCTTTGCCGTCCTTTCTCCCTCCCTCCCTTCCTTAGACAAGGTCTGACTATGTAAACTTGGCTGGCCTGGTACTCTCTATGTATTCCAGGCTGACCGTGAACTCACAGGGATTCACCTGTCTCTGCCTCACAGTGGTGGTATTATAAGGATGAGTCTCTGTTCAACTCATTTATATAATGTTGAGGCAAGGTTTCACTCTGGAGTCTAGGCTAGCTTAGAATTCATGGCCATCCTCCTGGCTGTTGAGTGCGTGGATCTCGGGTGAGCCACAAGGCTCTGCAGGAAAAAGGTCAGTTTAGGGTTTTGCTGTGGAGTAAAGGCAGGCTCTCTGTTTGGTGGCTGCTTTATACCCCTGAGGACTGAGCTCACTAGCCATCCCTGAGCACACAGTGTTTGCGTTAGGATTTATCATCGACAGCTATACAAATAGCTTGAGTTGCTCACTCCTTTTCTTCAAAGTACTCAGGAAATCTCATTAAGAGGGATTAACCCTGGATTTGGTTTGGTGTTCTTACTTTAATAAGCTTGCAGGAAAACCAATAAAAACACACAGGTACAAAGAAGAACAAACACAAGAGAGGGGCTAAAACCCCAACTCCCAGAGGAATAAGTGATCACACTGTTGTGTAGTAATCCAAATTTGCTGGGAGCTATGAGGTACCCCGGAGGATGCTGAGTACCAAAGGCCTGGGTTCTAGTGGCGACTCCACTAACTTGTTATGGGAGTCTACAAAATTCTTTACTCTGAGTCTTCTAGTTTCTTCATAAGTATAGTTAATGACATCTATCGCAAGAGCCACTGTATTAGGGGGACTGTGATAATAAATACAAGACCGCTTTGCAAAGCAAGAGCAATAATGAAATAGCGTTTGTCCTGTCATGCCATCAAATCAGAATTAGCAAAAACAGCCCTCAGTCTATTCTGGGTATCTGCTGTCTGTACCTGGAGACGTTGGAAATGTCTTGGTTTCAAGTTCCAGGTAAAATTTTAAAACTGTATTTAAGAACTCATCTACGTTTAGAATTGTATTAACTCAGAAGAGTAATTTAGGCAGATATAAAAACTCTTGACGCTAACTCTTCCATCAAACCATCTGTAAAATATCATGTAAATACAATAGGAAGTCATCATTAGTGTGCTGATATGATAGTCTTGGCCCGTTTGAAGGGAAGGCTAGTTGATTTCTTGAAGACAGGTAGAAGCAAAAGACTTTTTAGCAATTTCCACAGAGGAACCATAAGCCGTCAAATGGGTTATAAATCAGATAATTATTTAATTTGTTAGGTAATTCATGTCACCTTTAGGAGCAAGGGAGCACTATGAGCAATTATGTAGGTAAATGGACATAAACCAAGACTGTCCTTGAAAAGCCAGGACGTGCGCTTCTTAGTTATGATTGCCTCCCACCCCAAGGTGAGTGATGTCAGAGTAAAATAATTAGAAACCGGATCTGGAAATTTAACCAATTCCTCTGTGCTGTAGTCAATCCTTTTACTTTGTTACATTGAGCAGACATAAACCGTGGAAATCCCGGAAAGCTAGTGTGTGGCGAGCTGGAAGGGGGCCACAGCGGGTGGGAGGGACGCAGGAACCCTCTCCAGAGCTCTCTGAAGAGACGCATCAAACACCAGCCCGAGCTGTCTTTTTGCTGAGAGGCGGCAGAAGCAGACACACCAGTCTGGAATGTCAAGTGCCGAGATGAGCGGCTGCGAAGAGAAGCTTCAGGCCAATGTCGAGTCCGCCAAATGGAGTTGCAAACAGCTTCGAGTTCTGCGAGCAGAGGCTATAGACATAAATCAAAGAGCACTCTTCCCAGCGCCGGCAGTGTGGGAACGACTGGCCACTTGTCACGCTTCAGTGACCTCAACCACAGCTCCACACGTGGAGAGAGTAATTACCGCGAGCCCTGTGGTCTGTGAGTGATGGTGGCGAGGGGAGAATTTGTGCAGGCATTGCATCGGAGGGCTGTCCACACCCATGTTTAGAGACACGATGATGCCCTTCTTCCCCCATATGTTCACTGTGAGGTGTTCCTTTGCATGATTTATGTTAAAGGCCTTGTTTCCAGCCTGTCCCCAGCACCTGGCCATGTACAGCAGCTTTATATCCCCGACAGGGAAAGGAACCTAAAGATATTTTAGTAAGCAGCTTCCTGGAATGATAAATCAACAGCTATAATATCATATTTTTTAGGATGATACTAAATTCTGAAGGGAAAAAAAAGGTCAATATTTCTCTGCAAGGGAGGGCAAGGGAAAGCTGTTGACTGGGCAAGACTAGGGTAGGGTGCTAACAGCAGAGCTGGCTTCACTTGGTACCACCCCCTTTCTGAATCTCGAGGCCTGTGACGGATTGAAGGAGCAATTTCTCGGTGGCAGGAGTCGTCCTCTGTGACTGAGGGACAGTTGGCTGTGGAATCAGACTGAATCAAAGTGCCACTGGCTCTTTTGATGGATCTGCTGTCCTTAGAGAGCTGGTCTTTAAGTAAAAGATTTCTTTTTGATCTTTTCTTATAGATAGTTCTAGAGGGATGGAAAATGGGGCCAGGAATACAGTTCAAAGCACTTGCCTTGGATGCTCGAGGCCCTAGGTTCAATTTCAAATTCAAAGAAAAAAAATGGAAGTTTTCCATGTGAAGGTAAGGAACATACTTATAATTTGACAGCTATCTTCTTTTAAAACATATAATCGCTACTAGAAGAAATGGTGTCAGGTTGATATTGGTCTCATGGTTTTTAAGAAATGTAGAAAATAACGGGCCTAGCACTTCTTTTTCATTGACTATGAGTCCGTTTGTATTATGTGTTATTCATTTATTGTATAAAGTTCTATGTTATCAATTCACAAAATAGTCCTGGAACTTCCATTATTCACTGAGGCTTCTGATAGAATGACTACATTTAAAAACAGTCATGTGATCATAGTCATATAAGTAAATTACAGTAGACATATAAGCCGGTACATTAGTATTGCCAAGGTACTCATCCAGCCTTGAAAAGGCATGAACCACACAGTTAAGTCCCGATTGTTTTACAGCATAGGTTTTGTTTTTCTTTTGTAAATACACAAAGGGGGTTTCAAAAAAAATTAATTATTTTTTCTTTCTCTCAGAACTACTCTTACGATGGAGAAACAGCTATTTTTGTTGACCACACCAACTTGATATCAACCCCATCTTGATAAAAGCATTGGTGTGAGGACTCAACTCTCAAGTTCTCAAAGAATTTTATTTCCAGGAACAGTCGCCTTCCTGAGGACTATTCAGTGCCTCCTGCTAACTGAAAGTGCAAACATATGCTGTTTTATGCTTTTCAGATTGTATTTCAAGCAAGTAGACTCCCGACCTTGAGGGGCACAGGGAGTGCCTCTCTCAGTGTGCTTTTCTGGGCAGTGCTCTGCCCTCCTGCTCAGGGACAGACTCTCCGGACTCCATTTGTATGCTCCCCGAGTGCACACCATTAATGACTGTTCCATAGTTGGCAGCTGGATTTAATGTCCCAAGCTTCCTTTTTTTTTGTTTATTTAGAGAAAAAAATAATTTCTTTTTTTTAAATAATCTTTTATTCAGAGAGTAAGAGACCACCAATCTTGATGGACCACTGTGTATCCCATGAAAATGCTGCAATACTTAGGGTAGGCCCTGGCCAGCCAGCCATGCTTCTAACATCCTAAGAGATTATTACAAAGCTGGGCTTTCCAGGCTGCGCAACCCAAGGTTGTCTCTTTGGTCGGATTGTAAACAGCAGCCAACTGTCTAATGACATAATGTGAATTTTTATAGGCTCATCTAATTCTCCAGCCAGATTGCTCTCTGGACATTTGAGATAAATCTTCACCCACTCCTTAGAAGTGTTCAACACACAGGTTAATTTCTCACTATTGATTTTCCCCGCTATGCATCTTGACTATTACCAGATGCCTTGACCTATACAAAAGATCTCAGTGGCAGTCAGTTTTAAAAGAAACAGCTTTTTGAAAAGAATGCTTGAACAAAAGAAGTTGGTAAAGACACCAAAGCAACCCCTCCCTGACCCTTAGCAGGGGAGTTTGACTGCATATTTTGATTTGGTTTAGAGGAGAGAAAAAAAAAAAAACGTGCACATTTTCAAGAAGAGGTATCGTATATTAGGCTCGCCAATGGTTGGGCGTCTTGAATGAAGTAGAGGATTCTTACCCAGGCCAGGTTAAAAGCTCCACCAGAAGATGGACTTCTCTGGATTTTTGCTATTTATCTTAAAAAAAAAAAACCAAAGAAACAAAACCAAAATATCAAGCAAAATAAAAATTGATAAACAATAAGAAAAAGGGTTTGACTCTTCTGGATTGTCCTGTCCTGGACTTCAGTGATCTATGCCCCAAATATATAGATCATTTTGAAGTATATATTTTTATTAACAAGGAAACTATATTAAAAATAATAAAAATAAAGGTAAGAACACCCTGCACCCAAAACATCTAGAGCATGTTAATTTTGAACTTATTTCTTTTTTTCCACACTCCTGAAATACTGCCCACTAATAGAAAATAGAAAATTAATAGTAATTCCTTTCCTGGACTTTCAAATGAGACAACATCATTATTTTTCAAGAATGGGGGAGATTAAAAACTAACACTTAAATAATACCACTTTTAAAATTGCCAGATTCAAAAAATAAAAAAAATAAAAAAAATTGCCAGATTCAACAAAACTGAAGTGAATGAAGCCATTTCCACATCACTTGGAGTGAAGATTTATTTAAGACCAACTAAACAAATTACATGGACCCCAGCGCAATGCCTTCTTTAATCAAAGTTATAACTGGACAGACGTCAGACTTTTTAAAATTTAAAAATAATAGAAAAGTAAAAATAGATTTCCTAGAGAAATTTCTTCCCTAACTTGTGTGTGTGTGTGTGTGTGTGCGCGCGCGCATGTGTGCGTGTGCGTGTGTGTGTGTGTGTGTGTGTGTGTGTGTTGTTTTGCTGCTTCTGTGAATCTTTCTTTGGAGTAACTGGGAAGCAGAGTGTTTTTGTTTGTTTGTTTGTTTGTTTTTGTCTTTAGCTGGATTCATCCAAGGATGCTGAATTAGAACGTCATCTGATTGGTGGAACATGGACTCCTCTGAACCACGACAGAGAGTAAAGGCCCTGAAAGGAGAATGGCGGGTGTGAACGAGAACATGGGATGTGCGTCTCAGATGCCGTGTACCCTTGTGCGAAGAGAAGACAAAAGGAAAGAGAATGGGATGAGCACTCTAAAATCATCTGCAGCACTTTAGAGGGTTAAACCTGCTTAACCCATTCCTCGTCAGAGAATGGCACCAAAGAGCTCACCCCTCAAGCGTGGCTAGTTCTAGGCCTGCGGTAGCCTCAGGTTGCCAGAGCAGTCATGCGCTCTGTTTCCGCCCCCCTCCCACCCGATTAATAGGATCCATTCATAGCTACTCACTACTGCAGGATTTGACCTGAGAAATGCTAGGATCGATTAACTCAGCAGTCTTGGCGAACAGTCCCTAAATAATCTTTACCCTTGGCCAGCAAGGGAACGGCTAGTCTCCAGTTCTCAGCAGCAGCTGGTGGGGTTCTCAGTCAAGTTCTTCAGATGTAGGAACTCCTCCCGAACAGCCTACGTTGACGTGGCGTTTACACATCTTTCCAGCAGGCTTCCTGGATCTAGGAAACGTTATTCCTGACTCCTTTGACCCACGCGCCCGCGACAACACAGTTCCCAATCTGTAGGTGATCGCTCTTCTTTCCTTTCTAGGAGCTGGCAGGGTAGCTATTTTTTTCTAAAATAGTCATGTTGATATGTTCAAAAATCCATTGCTGAGTCTCAGAGAGAGGGTCACATCTGGCCATGAAAATCTTCTTCTCTGCAGGGTTGCAGTCCATGCAGCTGTTGCTTACAGGATGAAATAGTGTTCTGTCCTAGATGCATCAGAAAGAAAAGACTGATATAAAATGTGGCGAATGCTACAGCCCAACATTTATATATGTAAAATAGGTGTTTGTATTTGAATATGTACCTAGAGTCTAACTCAACCAGCTCTCGAGTCAAAGAATAATATAAGATTTCAAAGAATCTAGAACTTCCAACACAACTTAAGCTGAAGACAAAAATATGAATTAATTAATTTTTTTTAAGAGAGCAATTCACTCATTTCTAGTTTTGGAGTGAGCATCGTGTTGCAAGTTTAGCTGCTTACAAGTATAAAATGCTTCTAGCCATTTGGATAAAATATGACACACACACACACACACACACACACACACTGTGTTGAGTGCACAGTAAATAATAAACACACCCAACCAGAAGAGCGAAATTTTCCCCATCTCACACTGGTTGTCTATTGAAAAAGACAAAAGAAATCCATGCTGAAATTGAAATGCCAGGCGCTCAGCTGCCTGCCGTCTCTGGAAGATGAATGAAGGGGTGCGGACAAGTGACACTTGGGCCATAGCTGAGAATGAAAAGTCAGCTTTGTTAGTGCTTAAGAATCAGTGTCTTCCACCCCTGCAATCCAACATCTTGGAGGTTGCAGGCGTTTAGATAGCATGGTTCGGATGACTTTTTGTAAACTGGAGGAGGTGTCGTTGGCTTACAAGCCAGCTATGATAAATACATTAAATCATCTAAGTACTTGAGGCAGTTCACAGCTCAGTGAATAAAAGGTGCTCGCTTCCAGGGCACGAAGTCTAAGTCCTGAGCAAGCTCGTTGTCTGAGCATGCCCCTTTTTACTGTATTCCTGGGAAGAGGAGGTGAAGTGGAAAAAAAACAACCCTTCTTTAGTGTCAAACGCTCACTCAAATGGCGTTTACGATTTTTCTTAAAAAGTATCAATAATTTGAGAAAAGGTTGCCAAATTAACACTTAAATTTTAGCATCGAGTAATGCTTTGTTGTTTAGCTTAGGAAGTATTTTGGGGTTCTGGTTGTTCTTCTGGTTGCTTTCCTTCAAGGGGGGAACAGTAAATGGGCAGTACTTTTCGGATTTAAGAGTTTCTCAGCCACCCTTTGTAAACATTTATGGGTTCCTGGATTTTCAAACTCAATCAAACTAATATTTAATATCCTTGAAGGATCCGGATGTTTGCATGAAGGAGAAGGAGAAATAAGGAAGGAAAAAACGTAACATGTGGGCAATTTGGTAGGCGTTTCTATTTTTAGTGTAAACAAAGGACTGTGCCCAACACAAAGGTTCTTTTCTCCTACTCTTTAAAGTCAAAGTTGGTTGTGGATTTCCTGAACTTGAGTTCAGAAGTCTCCTGAGGGTGCCTTACAGTCCTCTCCAACGTCTTCACTAACTTCTCTGCAGTCTGACTCCAGGGGAAGGTTCTAAGAAATTCTCCTTGTCTGCGGGGGAGATGGCAGATGCCAGGAAGGAGGAGACTGTTCTCAGCTCCTCACCGCAGCCTTGGAGATTACCTGGGCTCCTGGCACACAGGTTCCTCCCGCAGTCTCTGGCTCCTTGCACAACGCCTTCCTTCCTTGTTCTGTCCCCTTCCCTTCGGCATTTCTCATGCCCTTCACCCTCAATTTCCAGCAGCGTAGCTGCCTGAATCTAATCTATTTTATTAGGTTTGCAAACACCCTTTGTGGTTTCACTTTTTATATTGCCGGGAATCAAACCCATTCAAACTGTGGGCTTGCTAGGCAAGTGCTGTACCACAGAGTTTTATTTCAAATCCCTTCAAGTAGTATTCTTTACTGTTTTTACATTTATTTAGTGTGTAGTGTGTCTGTGTGTGCATGCCACAGTGTCTACATACGGGAAGGCCAGAGGACAATGTGCAGGGTTCAGTTTTCTCTGTCTACCACGTGGGCTCTGGGGAGGAAACTCAGGTTGGCAGGTTTGGCGGGATGCGCTCTGACTCATCAAGCCTTCTCTTGGCTCCTTCAAAGACCATTTTTAAATTATAGCGTTCAAGAAAATTCTACGTGACCCACTAAATTCGAACATGCTCTGTTGCGTGTGCGGGCACCTCCTTCCAGGTTTTAATACCTGTATTTCTTCCTGCTTCCTTTACCAACAGCTCAAGCGACCTCTGGACAACCCCAGATTCCCCTTAAAAACATGCATTTCTGTGAAACCTAAAATCGGTAAAGAAAACGAGTTTCTTCTCCTTATCACTGCCCGAGTGCCAGCGTGAACACAGAAACAAACCAGGTTTCTTAAAGCGCCCTATTTTTCTGCACATCCCTTCCCAAGCCGTAAGGTATCACAGTTTGCAAACCCCTTGTGGAAACACATGTTCTGACAAATGCAGGTGTGCTCCTAGCCACAGCCAGGCAGGCTGTACAGATGTGGTACAACCGGAACAATCCGGAATATGTTTCCAGTGCATGTACTTTGTGTCCTTAGAAGAGATGAAAACCGGGATTCTTTATCTAGCTACACCAGGGAAGCTGATGGGGAATGAGAGGGTGAAGTAGACCAGTCCCCAAAGTCTTTCTTTGTCATAGAATTGAAGGAACACTTTGTTCCAAAGTCTGCCTGTGACAGAGACAGTTTACAGGGTGCTAAGCTAGAAGTCCTCCCCAATACTCAGTAGGTCAACTGATTGATCTCTGGCTACAGACCGATCTCTGTTCACCCTTGTCTTCGGAGTGCCCAGCAAGGCCACAGAAATGAAGCTTCTGGGCACACTTTCAGCCTTCAACAGAATATATTTTTATCGCCTTTGACCTTGGGGGGGTGACATAATTGCTATCTATAGGCTTCTATTGGACCAGGATTTTGGATCATTAATGTCTTTATCGACGCCTTTGCTAGCTGATTTAGTCAGTGGCGTGAGTCTGAATATGTCTTTTCTTCCGTGACAGCCCTCCTCTCCCCTGTCCTTCATCCCATTGGTCATCGCTGTTAACAGAACAGCATCCCCGCCCCCAGGAGACTTACGAGTACTTTGGAAAGTGCGATGTTCCGTAACCGCCTTCTGTATGTGATGATCGATGCTCTATCTTTCCTTTGCTCTTGGTCCAGTCCTGACAAAAGGCAAGGCCCTGCCTGTCCGTGTCACCTTTACTTCACCATGCCTGAGAAAACTGAAATCATGGAGTAGGGGAGGTCTAAGGATTGCTGAGCCGCCCTTCCTAATCACTTCACGGCGCCAACCAATCAGTGCACGCAGATGAACATGGGTGGGACTATTTGGGTGGTTCGCCGGAAGCCACGTGGGTTTAGAGCTGGCCACAGACTTGACTGGCATCTGTGTGGTACCTGGTGTGTTCCCACATCCATAATGAACTTTATCCGCTCCCATATTCACATAGAGTCTAAGCTTTAGAAGAATGAGAGAGAGGCTCCAAACATCCCAGCCTGCGCTTGGGGTCATGAAAGAATTGAACAGGAAAGTCACAAAGACAGTAAAATAAACAGGGGAGCACATGGCTCACAGCCTGAGGGGCAGTGCAGTCCTGGGAAGAGGCCTGAGGTTTGTGGCTGGACAGGGAACTGGATGAATTCTACCCATCCACTTGCTAGCTGTCTGCCATTGGAGCAGGCACTAAATTCTGCGACCCTTAGCTCACCTACTTGTAAATATGGCTAACGTGCCCAAGTTTGCTACGGGAGGATAAAACGTAGAGTGGCTGGCTCCATGTATCACATATAAGCAACTATGTAATAGCTTCCTCTTCCTCTAATTTATTTTTAGTCAGAAAGCCTCCCCAGTTCTAAAAATCAGAATGTACTAACCATCTGGTCTGAGACCAGCAAGCTATTCAATACCAAAGTATATTTTCTGAAAGCCTGGCAAAATGGAGCTTGAAAAAATTACCCTCTGACCCAATCTGTTGTCCACGTTGTACAACAGTGCCTCCCTCTTTAATCCAAAGGATTTAGGAAACCAAGGTCATCTAGGGCTGGCAAGGCAGCTTTGCTGGGTTATTGCAGAGCTTTGGCTGGTCTCTAGCATGAGCTATGACTATCTTTTCAGGTCCTGAGCTTTCTAGAAGACAAGACAATAAACTATGTAGACCTTTTGAATACATGATTTAGACAGGCTAATTGAGTTCAACAGATATTTCTAAAGTGCCCTTTATATTGTGGTTAGTGTCGAGGAAAGGCGTTGGGGAAGATAACCTAAGCCGTATCCTCTAACCCAACAACTAGAGCAGATCAAAAGGTAACTAATAAGTGTCTGAAGTGGAGAAAATATCAGTGAAATGTAGTGTAATAAAGGTGAATATGAAATAACACATTTATGCATTTGAGTTAAAAATTTAATGGGCAGATCCTGTTAGACAGGGACTCATATATTCACAGTTTCTTTCCATCTTTTGATGGGTACCTAGGTTGATTCTATCTCCTGGCTGTTGTGACCTGGACCACAGCAAACATAGTGGTATATGATGACTTAATATCCATTGGGTATATAATCAGAACAACACAGCTAGATAATGTAGTAGTTCTATTTTTGGTTTTATGAGGAACCTCCATACATATTTCCACAGTAGATGGGCTAATTTGTATTCCTGGCAATAGTATCCCATTGCTACCCCTGTCCTCATCAACATTTGTTTTCCTGATGAGAGCCATGTCAACTGGGAGAAGAGAGAATCTCAATGTGGTTCTCATTTGCATTTCTCTGGTGGCTAAGGATCATCATTTATGAAAATTATTTCAGAAATTTGTTGGGATTTGTACTTTAAGAAGAATCTGTTCAATTAATTTGCCTGCTTATTGATTTAATTATTATTTTCTTTTGGTGGTTTACTTTTTGAATCTTTTCTATTTTCTAGATATGAATCTTTTATACATGAATAGCTAGCAGATTTTCTCTCATTCTGTAGAACGTCTCTTTACTCTTACAATCGTTTCCTTGACTGTGTCGCAGTTCTCCAGTCTAATGCCATCCATCTGTCAATTCTTGCTATTATGTCCTGAGGACACAAAAGTCCTAGTCAGAAAGCCACTGCCTAAGTC